CCCTCCAACCACTTCCCATCCCTCCAAAACACAACTCCAACCACTCCCCACTCCATTCCACATACAAACACCACCCCAAAACCTTTCCTTAGACCTTGTGCCACAACAAAGAGGAGGATAAGAGGCCTAAACGTTCATACAACTCAAGTTTGAGTTGTTGGAATTTTTAGGTGTTTCCTTTCCTCGATTTCAATGGTTAAATTTACTTATCTTTGTTTTGTACGTATGAGGAACTAAACCCCCTTTAGCTAGGGGGTGATTCGAAACCATGTTTATACTTGCAATATGAATTGATTACCTTTGGTTGGAATTTCATGAGTTGTGGATTCAATTTGTTTAACTGTTTGATTGATAACTTATTTATGTATGTTTATTGAGAGTGCACGCTTAATTTTCATGCATGAATATGACGCTAGAATATAAGTGAGTTTCACCTAATAGTTATGAACTTATATTCACAAGTAGTGGAGGTTGCTTATAAACAATCGCGTTAAATGAATTCTTGGCACTAGTTTCATGCTCATCATAGTAACGAAGGTCTCGTCAACACTTATAGTTTTCATGATGCTTAATGATCTTTGATTGTATCTTTATTGTACTTTTCACGTAAAGGACTTTTGGAGAATGTTTTGAATTGCGTTGCGCTAACCCATCCAATTCATTAACTTAAGGAGAACTTGACGGTTAATTTAAGCGGACCTAATTAACCCGGGGTGTTGAGTTTCATAATTTATCGAAAGACCAACTGAAAATCATATTGTATGCAAGTGTAACATGTGTGGAGAAGAACCTTCTAGCTAGCATTCCATCCATATTTTCATCACATTCATATTTACATTCTGCCCTTAATTATAATCTGTCCATTTAATTTAATTTCATCCAAACACAATCCCCCATATTTTGTTAAGTCTTAGTCATTACAATCTATCTTATTTGGTGTTTTTAAGTATTTGGAGTCTTGTGAACTTCTTTTGAGTTTTCTTTAAATAAGTTAAGTGTTTTAAAGGTTAGTTTTATTTATTTGAGTCAGTTTAAAGTGTTTAGCACCCCTAGCTAATCCCCGGTTAGAACGATCCCTACTTACTTCATTACTACAATTGTCACAAATAGGGTTTAATTTGTGTGTCACATAAGTTACGCATCAAGAAGGGAGAAAGACGAATAGGAAGGCACGGAATAGAAAAAGGGAAATCAAGGTATAAAGGAGAAAAAGGGAAGAGGAAGGCATAGACATATAAACTAATGACTAAAGGTTTACTCGACGAACACCTCTGTCGGCCAATTTTTCACTAAACATCGAGCAAATTTCATGGCGGTGGATGGTTATTACACATCACTAGTAGACTTTTGACCACCAATAGTAGACCTACCCGATTAACCACTCCATCAGGTAAACTTTACCTAACCGAGTATCACCTAATTTGTCGATTAAATATTCCCCTCTTCGCGCCAAAAGTTGACTTGACAACGTTTTTCTTAACCTACGAACTATGTTCATCCCAAATAACCATTACTCAGACATCTTTACCCTTAGCCATGAACCTCCTTTGGTTTTTTATTCACTCAATTCTTTAATTTTCTGACCTGAAGCAAGGAAGAAGAAATGACACAAAAATAGAAGCAGGTAACTCAAAATCAAATTATGAAAGAAATATTTTGTTACAATCAATATAGTAATAAATAATAAGTAATATAATGATTTCTAACTATATTTTTAATTTTTAATTGCCATACAATATTTCATTTTCAATTAAGTATCTTGTGTGATATTGTTGCCCCAACCACCGCATTTCCATTCTATTATTAATTTAATTTGAGCATGAGCCCGCGTAAACATATTTAATCAACCCAATATGTTGACCAACTTCGCCCTATCAACTGAATTACCCATCGGATAAATAGTTGTTAACTGACGAAATTTCTTCCGTTGAGCATAATTTGGTAGGGCAAGCCGTAATTTCTAGTAGTGATATTATATGTTTATTGACACACCCCGACCGAAATCAAGTCGTGTTGGTCGTCACGTGAAAGTGACGTAACCATGTGCACAATGCGGAAGCAAAATGATAAAGAGAAATACGAATAAATAAAAACCAAACTACTAATAGTACTAGCTAAGATAACATGCTAGTGTGAGAGTAAGTGTGAAATACACAACCAAAGCATGAGTAGCCTAAGTGCCGTCTAGCAGGACAAAACTAATTACACAACACCCAAAGGTGACCGTACAATGGTAATAATCTGTCAGATCTGCCGTGGATTCCTCGCAAGCCACCAAAAGCACTCCTCACTAGAACCTAGAGGGGCACAAAACAGAAAGTGTGAGTAGGCAGAAACAAAGCTTTTCAAAATCATTTCATTTCTCAAAAGTTCTAACCCCTCGTCGTAAAACCTGTATAATTTCCCAGAAAATATAATATATATATATATATATCTATATATTCCACAACCATGCTCAGAATAGAAAAATTCACCAATATGCCATGTCAAATATCTCAGCATAAAAATATATGTAAGCTAGGTGATATAAATCAATGCAGATGATATGTCAGCCGGAGTCACCTAACGTGACCTGCACGGCTGAATCTAAAGCTCATCCATCTAGACAGAGTCACCTAACATGACCTATACGGCTCAAATCCACATCTCAACAAATATACATGCACACGAGTCGGAACCACCTAAAGTGGTCTATACGACAGGACTGGGTTTAAATAAATACGCTCAAGTGCTACGATCACATGAAGACTATGTGAATAATCGCGAGTCACCTACAAGTCAGAACCACCTATAGTGGTTTGTACGACAGAACTGAGCACTTAACTTGGATCCAAGATGAGCGTATGGTGCGGGAGGTGAACATCACGTGAAGGACTGTGCCCTAACTCTGGGCGGGAGCACTAACACCGGGGTGCAGGTTTATGAGCTCTCAATGCCTTTCAACATAATCATCATAATGCAACTCATCATTATCAACACATAAACTCACCTGGAACTTACCTGAGCACCCGCAGCGTCAACAACCATAAACATAAGCAATAATGCACATTTAAAGCATAAGCATATTTGGCATGGCATTTCATTTCATAAAATCATTTAAATTCATTTTCTGGGAAAAATACCAAGTATATAGGTATATACGGAAAACCAAAAGCCCACTCACTGGTATGTGTAAGGGTCGTAGCCCCCAAGCCTCGATTGACTGCGCTGGTCCTAAGGATAGGTTTCACCTATATGCGAAACAACTATATAAACGTTAATTTAAAGCACATAAACGAAACTAGCTAATAACTTCTCATACATTGCTCAAATGGGGTGTTTGAATATACCAACGTGATCTACTCAACACCATAAACATCCCCATATTTTTAAAATAATTTTTGGACGTCTCACGCACCGCCACGCATCGGCCAAGGCACGGCCAGACACGCCCCCACGCACGGCCATGTGTCTGGCACGCTTAACTGAACCTTAACGCCGTTAGGGAATATTCTGTTAAAACCTTAACAAAAGTTAACAGCCGTTACCTGATGCCGTTAGAATATTCCGTCAACTCTGACGGAATATTCATCTCCTTCTCCGGTGAGCCTCTCCAGTCGCCGTCGTCAGCGCCGCCGTCTGCAACTCATGGCTTCGTCGGTTTCTGAAAAAACTTCAAAACGTCATATCTTCTTCATTTCTCAACCAAAATCCATGAAATTTGTACCAAAATGAAGCTTATGAAGAGTAGAATAAAACCTTACCCTTTCAAGCCCTAAAACCAACGAAAAGTCGCCTGAAAAACCTACGATATTCCGGCCAAACTTGCAACTCATTGAACTTGAGCTTCCCGACGTCCAAAAGACCTCAAATTTCTTCCCCGAGCTTCGTGAAGACGTTCTAAGGTTCACTATAACCTCAAAACTCGATGAAACCTCCGCGATCACGAGTGCATGAACAGTACCTCAAATCGGAGATCCTTGGTTCTCGGGTTTCCGAATGTTTCACGTCCTAAAAATGGTATGGATGAGTTCTTGGGCTTGCTAGGCGTCCAAAAATACCAACAATGATTTCGATCCGTGCCTGAAATGGTTGGTTCGAAGGTTGTACGGTTTGTAAAGGAATGGAAGAAATCCGAGAGAGGGAAGAGAGAGGGAGTACACAGGAGTGAAATAGAGGGTGTGAGTGTGTGTGTGGTCCAGCTGAGTCACCAACCAAAAACAAATCACCCACAACACCAACTAACGTCCAAGGGCAAAATCGTCATTTCACGTCATCGATAAAATAATTCAGGATGGGCTGTCACATTTATTTATTTATTTCCTTGTGTATTTAATTATAAGAATTAAATTAATTCAATTATATATGCCTAGAAACACAACAAATATATAATCAAACATGAATGCACAGCAAAGACCTCGCGGTGCATTCACAAATTCTTTCTCTTCTTTGCTCTCCTTTTCGTGCAAATTCTATACAACCACCTAGAAAATCAAAACAAATAAAATGATGGAACTCGATCGGTCAGATTCTTATCCCTCTCTCTGCCTTTTCCACCGTTTGAACTTCAAGTTGGGTTCGAGTTGCAGCTTCAAGTACGTACGAAAGTTGGGTTCGCGTTGGGTTCAAATTTAAATTGGGAATCATCCCAATCCATTTGGTTTCCGTTTGATACGAACCAAAACTTGAAATTCCACAAAATAACACAGAATTAACAATGTAATAACGGGAGAGGCTTCTCGGGGGAGAAAGATCTTGAGATCAGTAGTCCTTCCACCGTGGTCAGATAGAACGAAGTGGATATGAACAGGGTGTTAACAGAGCAATAGTAGGGTACTAATGAATATCTCACGAAGTTAATACGGAACCAACATTGCTTCATATTTTATTAAAAGAATATCATTGTCACTCTTTTTTACTTTTACACGCTCCAGATCTAGTATACTCAGTTTGTTACAACGTACAATAAAAAAAACAAAGCAAAAGAAAGCACGCACAGTATACAGTGTACACACACAGCGGAAAGAAAAGGAAATCAACTGATAAGTAAAAAAGAATAATCAAAGTCTCAAAGATATATAAAAACTAGGAATAAATTATCAGCTAGCAAATCACCAAAGGCAGCAGTAGAGAAACCCTAACAACATGAAAACCCTAAATAGCATCCCGTGATTGTGCTTCACACAAAGTGATCCAGATGAATCTTTATCATGATCGCCAGTGGCAGTGTCATCCGCTTTGGGATGGTCGAAACTGGCAGGAACAATTGTATCCGGGACAGAACCATCATCAGTGCCGTCACCACCTGGAGATGGGGACCCGCCGGGACTGCTTGCTGTTGCTGGACCTGGGGACTGGTCCTGTGTGGGTGTGGTTGGGTTTTGTAAACTCTTTGGCAACCCTTGTCCGTGAGCGACGCTGATCTTAAAGTGCTGCCCGTTCTTGCATTGGTCGCCATCATAATCCCCTGAAAAGAAATAGTTCATCCCTTCCTTTACCAAAGGCACTGCCACCGACACCTCGCGTACTGCCGTGTTTGACGGATCAGCTGCCGACCATTGCATTGTGTCGTTTTCTAGAGCATCGTTGTAATCGCACAGCTTGTATGTCGTCAAGTTATATGTTTGCACAACTGAGTGGTTGGTGTCCGTATTAAAAACTGCATAACAATCACGTCTATAATCAACTCTTCAGTAAGTAAATATAAAGCTGAACGAAGCTAAGTTAACTAAAGAAGCATTAGATTGAATTATAATATTACTCAAATAAAAGAAACTTCAACAAAATTAGTGCATATATCATATATAGCAAAAGCAATCAAAGGTTTTTGGTTCTTGGTCTTCATATTTGCCAGAAGATAACATTCTTCAGGTATTATATATATCATATATAGCAGTTGCAGGACACTGACTAACTAAATGTTTTAAATAAGTATACCTATGTACATGCGTCAGCTCTAGATTACCAAGGCAGTGGAGAAATAATCAGGCTGTCCAGTTGCACAACCTATAAAACATCCTGTCTTTATTTGCCGACAAGCCGAATGATTATGTACTGCCGTTCCGTTTGAGTAAGATTTTACCTTTTTTTTTTAAATTAACCCAATTTTCTATAAAATAAAATAAAAAGTTTTACCGGATCACTTCCAAATTTTTTGTATATGCATCTTATCAGCCATGTTTTACCAGATCACTTCCGAAGTCATTCATAAGATCCATTTTTACGTACTGCTAAACTTACAATTATTTAGTTGTTCAACTGCTTTGTTGTTTGATTGTCAGCATCTTCATTTCAATTATATCTTGTGAGCCATGACTTTGCGCATGTTTTAGCTGACCAAACATTTTATAATTTGAATAATCTAAACTACATATTAATAGAATTTTGGTTGTCAACTAAAACTCTATAAGATTACCATCCTAACCTCTAATTAAAAGTGAATTCTAAATAAAAAAATATGAACAGTAATATAATTTCAAAACAAATCAAATTTTTCTTTTTTTAAAGCTTCACCTACATGTGATTTTAACATACCTCAAATATTTTAAAAAAAAAAAAAAAAAACAACAACAACAACAACAACGAAACAAAAACAAACAAACAAAAACTTCTGTCCCCTCTCTCCCCATTTAAAAAAAATAAATATTTACCCATACTTTTGTGTGGGCATGTACTAGTTGTTTACAAAAATAACTCTTGATTAAAAACACAAAATGTTAATGGTTTAAATCATTAAAATGCATTATACAAATAACTTTAAAAATAGGGCAATGCTAAATAGACTAAATTTCTAATCTAAATTATGTAAACTAAGTGACGTGGTGGTTAATGATTGAATTATTATTTAACTATTGATTAACGTAATCATTTCTTAGTAGTGACACATCACTTAGTTTGTAAATTTTGTCTCCCTAGCATTAGCCTTAAAAATATATAGACACATGAATATAATAATTTGGGTAATGTTAAGGAGACTAAATTTGTAAACAAAATTTACAAACTAAATAATATGTTACCAATATAAATGAGCATAGTTATGAATGGTTAAGTAATAATTCAAGTATCAACTTCTATATTATTTAGTTTTTAAGATTTTATTTACAAATTAAATCTCCTAAGATTACCCTAATAATTTATGCAACTCGAAACCTTGATTGGAAATTGGAAACAGAATAAATTAATAGGTTTTGACCTGGTTGGGGGATAATCAAAAGAATTGAAAAGAAACAGAAGAAAATGGTAGCTGTATTCTAAAGGAGTTTTAACGAAAAACTCACGGTACTATTTACTTTAACAAAAAATTACATTTTAACACTAAAAAATCAATCCTGATACTATTCACTTTACCCTTTATTTTATCTTTATCATTAAAACTCAAAGTTTTCAAATAATTTTCATTAGTTTTCTGTATTCTAATTCATGTTCCAAGTGATGAGTTGGGTAGTTAGTAGGGAAGAGCCCAAGCGTCGGCGGTGGTAGCTTTGGCTACACGTGAAGTACACATGGTTTGACAGAAAAGTCTCTGCACTTGATTGGAGTACAGTAGTACACTAGACAGTATGCTTTTCTATCTATCTTTCTTAATGTTTCTCTCTTTGAACTTTAGCTTTTCCACTAACGTGAATGCTGTTCTGGGAAAAAGCAACGTGATTACATACTTGATGAGGCAATTACACTACTGCTTAATTAAGTTATTACTATTAACACACAGATTAGCAGAATATTTAGAAAAAAAAACAAATTAAAAAAGAAGGAATATTACTGTACAACACCTCAAATTCTTTAATTTCCAAACACGAAACCAGGAAATAGCTCAAGGATACGCAAGAAATGATTAACGCATCCATGAATGTCTTTTTATTAATAATCAATTGTAGAGACATGCAAAAATAAACATAATTTGGAAATGATGATATACTTTCGAAGCATTAATAACAATTATTCTATAATTATCAATGACAATGTGCGTTAGAAACAAAAAAAACAAAATTGTAAACAGTTTGGAAATTTGAAATTAGATTAAAATCAAGTATTTTTCTTTTCTTTTTGGATATGAATTAATTATGAATAATTACAATTCAAGGACTAATAATCGCAATTTTCTTTGCCAAATGTTAACATTAATGGGTTAAGTTGTCCACTGCTAAGAAGAAGGGAAATCGATAGAGATCGAAACCGCAACAGAGCGATAAAACGTAATTTGCAACTGATAGCAATTGATATTAACATAATATTATCGATCGAAAGAGCAAAAAATGAAAGAAATTGATGGATAGTGATGAAAGGAAGCTTACTGAGAAAATCTCCCAAGCTGAATGTCTTGGCGGCAACCCATTTCTGATAGTTCACAGATTCATACCAACCGGAAGAGTCACCCACTGTATAATTCTTGTAAGCTTCAACGCCTGATATTCCTGAAAACGAAGGAATAACAAGAGGAAGAAGAAGGACAAGGAGAAAAAACAAGCTAGTGTACTTGCTCTGTAGTAATGGTTCCATTGTTTTTTGGTTGGAGTTAGTGAAAACTGAAAACAGAGAGAGGGGATATTGAAGAACAAAGGGCATCAACTGTATTTCTATATACATGTATTGTATGGATGCTGCCAGCTAGCTATAGCTAGCCACCCAGCAATTGGTGCGTATTATGTTTATGTTTACCCCTACTTTTTATTGGAATTACCAAAACGGTCTCTCTTTCATTCCTGTCGGTTCCGGTATGAAGTCTCGTTCACGCAGCATCTTTTGTGATAAAATTATATATAACTTGTATTGTGTAGTTTAACTTTTAATTATATCAAAGTTTTTTTAATAATGAAATTAGGTTTCACAATTGGTGTGCTGATGGTAGGATACAAGTTGAGAATATGACCTCTCTCTTAAATGTTGACAAAACATAACTCATGTTTCCAATCAAATAAAATAGTCGTGTGTGATTGAATAATAAATCATAATGCAAGTTTTGTAGTTTGATTGCTTGCATTATTTATAAAAAAATATTATTCACACATTTATTTTATTTTTTTATATACTTATTTTAATTGCGATCATCTGATTGAATAGATTGAAGAAGATTAATGGTAAAAAATTAACAAAGATGAGTAAAAGATAAAAATAGATGTGTAAATAACACTATCTTATTATATAGCTCAAATTTGGTCATGATCTAATTTATGTATTATTGTTGACTTTAAAAATTACGAAGTCTGTGTGTCCGCAGGTTGAGTAATTAGGAACTAATTACATCTTCAGTCATTTGAATGCTGATGTGGACATGCCAATTAGCTGCCGAGCTCGGTTGGGCAAATAATTTTTTACCATTATTAACGGGAAAGAGTTCAAAACTATTATATTAATTTAAAGAAAGGTAAGAGTTTCAAACCCGAGACGCAGATAGAAACCTAACATCTTATCCACTAGAATTTTTTTTTTCTTTTTCTTACAAATATATTGCATCACATGCGGTTGGGCAAATAACTTGAATATGGTGATGTGATAAATATGCTGCTTACTTCTAAATCGATTCTAGTCTTTGAAGAGATCGCAATCTTCGAAGGATCCAAAATGCCCAGAATCTACTATCTCTCCTTGTTCTCTCTGATCCTTTGGACCCTGAACTACTTGTTGAAGCCCCTGTGTTTTTCTGAACAGAATGGTTTTCATGCCCGTAAAAGAGGGAAAGGAGGGATGGGTGGAGAGAAAGAGGGAGGGAGAGGGAGAAGTATCGATCTGGGTTTCAAGAGGGAGAGGGGAGGGATGGGATGGAGAGAAAAAGGGAGGGAGAGAGAGAAGTTTCAATTGGGGTTTCGAGAGGAAAAGGGGAGGGATCAGACAGAGAACAGAAGGAGAGAGAGAAGTTTCAATCTGGGTTTCGAGTAGGAAATGGGTGAGATGGGATGGAGAACAGAGAGAGGGAAAAGGAAAAGCTTCGAGGGAGAGGAAGAGGTTTGTCGAAAAAGGAAAAAGAATTAGTACTATAATAATATTATCTTTTTATCAATTTTCAATACCAATTGCTCCAACAATTTATTTTTACGGTGAAGATGCACTCCGATAATTGTTATTCAATAAGGTAATTATGATAGTGCTATCCAAACACTTATTTTTACTTTTCACATACTTTTTCAATTTTTGATTGTTGGATCGAATAAATTAAAGAAGATTAGTAACAAAAATTAATAAGGGTGCATAGAAGTGAAAAATGAAGGTGTGAATAACACTATCGAGGCAATTATTGGCCTAAGAGCAACTCCACCAGGACCATTAGCTCGATGGACCAATGACTTCCCCATCCCAATAGCCCCAGCTGCAAGCTCCAACCCATGCGAGTGTGTGGGTTGAGGGGGGGCCCAAGAGAGAGACCTGGCTCGAATTGGTGGCCAGAGAACTTGAGGGATGTGTGATGTGTGGCTGATGTCAAGGTGACCCAACTCAAATTCATCCGTTTTCCTTTGTCGGAATCTGGAAAAAGAATGAGATGCATGTAGGGAATTAAGCCCTCAAATTAAACCACAAGAATTGCAACACAACATAATTTAAAGCTCAAGAACACAAAATAGTGATAGAAACACCACATGGGTTCGAGATTGAGAGCTCAAGCTCTCGACTTCAATGGTAGGACCTTGCACCATGCACCAATGCCGTATGCAAGGCCATGGTTGGGTTCCTTGAGTTCCAGGGATTCCAAAAATATTATTTTTGAGCTTGATTTGTTGAAGGTTGAAGAGAGCTCATGAGAGTGAGCTGGAAAAGATGGAGAGAGAGAAAGAAAAATGAAGAGAGAGATAGAAAGGAGAGGGAGAGAGAGAGAGAGAGAGAGAGAGAGAGGAGAAGAACCGGTCAAAGGAGAGAGAGAGAGAGAGAGAGAGAGAGAGAGAGAGGAAGAACCGATCAAATGAGGGGAAAAAGGAAAAGGATGATGGGTATGTCTGATGGATTGGGTGAGGAAAAAATACTAATATTTTATTGCTTATTGTCATGACTATTTAGTTTAGGGGTGGAGATGTAAAAGACATTCACTGTTCATTAAAGACAGTTCATGTTCATTGGGTGGATTCAATAGTGAGTTGCCCTAGGGGGCCTTTACAACGCTGAAGTTGCTCTAAGGGTATAACAAAAACAAAAATAAAATGCCTAATTGGATTATTAGTCCCCATTGTGATAGGATAGTTGGAAAATAGGCAATTATTGACCTAAGGACAATTATTAGGCTAAAACGAAACTCTCTGTTAATTATTAACATGTGAAGTTAGTCCACGTGCTAATAATTTATAGAATTTTTAATTTTGGACATAAATCCTAACGAGCTTAAATCATAATTTTTTATTTATTTCTTCCAACTATCTTGTCATCATGGGAACTAATCTCTACTAATTAATAAAACACTTATTGTCAACCAAAACCCTATGAAATTACTAGTTTAACCCTCCAATTAAAACAGACCATGAATAAGAAATATAGGGCATAAATGTAACTTCACCCAACCAAATTTTGCTCTTTTTTTTTCTTTCAAAGTCTCATCTATATGCAATTCTAACATATCTCTAAAAAAAGATGATTAAAAAAAAAAAAAAAAAACTTCCCACTCTGTGTCACTCTCTTCCTCTCTCATTTTATTTCAAAAACAAAAATAAAAAAAAATTCTTACACACTTTGTGTGTGCCCATATGTTAGTAATCCAATTAAGCCAAAATAAAATAAGTCTTATATAAAAAAGGCAACAGAAAAATGAAAACAGGCGGGGAAGATTCCCATTACATGGAAGACCATTTCTTTCTCAAAGTACGGTAGTAAAGAGAGATGGTCAGTCAGTCTGTGTGAGAAGAAGAAGAAAATGAATTCGTCGCCGCCGGCAGAGGAGCCCCCTGATCTGGTGTGCCAGATCGACAACGCCCAGGGCATGGTCGACGCCCTCACCACCGTCCGATGGAAACGCCAGCAGGTGTGTCCCTCCCTCCCAACCTAAAACGCTTTCAATTTTGATGCTTGCTTGCTTTCTTTCTTTCTACTGGAAATTGAACGCAATTGCGGAAGAATCTTTTATCTTCTTCTTACAACTAATTATCAAGGGTTTTGTCATAACTCTCTCTCTGTCGTCGCAATTTCGATAAATTCAGGACGCGGTGGTGGAATTATCAGAGCACGGGGTCGTTTTAATTGTGGAGGAAACCGGTTGTCTTCAGGCCAAAGTTTATTTGCAGCGTGAGGTAGTTACCATTGCTGATTCATGGATTGTTATTTTCCTTTTGTAAATTACTAAAAGAATAAGGAAAAGGAAATGAAATTTGATGTTGAATTGGTTGGTTGTTTGTAGCTGTTTACTCGTTACGAATACAACGGGCAAGGCCGCCCCCGGTTTGGAATCAGTTTGGGGCTCTTCGTCGATTGCTTGAACACATTTTCAGTTCCTGGACAATCAACCATTCTCGAAATTCGCTATCCCGGCCCTGACATGCAGCTTCTTCTCAAGTATTTCTTTCACAGTTGAATTGAATATTTTGTTCATTTCTGGATGCAATGCATTAATACTTACTTGTTCATGATCCTTGTATTTATGCTTTCAATCCACGAAAACTGAATCGAACTTTTTTCATGGCTATGTTATCTTCCCTGTTTTGTCAGGTCTGTTGATTCGTTGGATGCTTGCATTTATGCAGAGATCAGGACAAGAATCCCAGATACAGTTTCATGGGACTACAATTTTGAACCCGCAGGGAGCACCCCGCTCACCTTTACTGTTAAGGTATGCTGCTCTGCTCATTTATTTTTACTCGTATCGAGGGTGTACATGCTGCCTCATTTGGTCTCTCAATAATTAAATTGGTGCCCTTTCGTAGTCTGCTTCCAGTGCAATAAGGTCGCTACTGAGGCGTCCCTGGAGAAGTCTTCTTAACATTCTTCTTATGTTTCCTTTTTCCATCTTTCCAAACACTTTCTGACCTATACCTTCTGTATTAAAGATAAAAATAGTCCAAGGTTTATGTTTTAAAGTAAAAAATAAAAAATAAAAATTAAAGAGGGTTAGGTATTGACAAGAAGCGGCATCCACTTGTATTTCATCTCTTTTCCGTTTCATAAGTGGGTGTTGACTCCAAATAGTTTTCGAATCAACCTCTACTGTGCTTCTTAATTACTAGTTTTACCTGCCACTATGTGCGCATAGTTATCATATTTGTCCTCAATATAAATTTTAAGGTCAATGAGAATATGAATGTTCAAGGTGTGTGCGCTTGTGTGCTCGTGCATCTGACTCTCTAACCAACAGAAAGTTTTAGCCCTTTAAGACAAAAGAATATTAAAAGGAACGACCTGCCGATTAACAATACTTGTGAAGGAAACAGTCGTGCATTTGCTATATAGTGTATAGCACTCAAACATAAATGTTCTTGATGTATTGAATATGTTCCGACTCATGTTGAAGTCTTTTTCCTAATTGTTGTTTGGCATCTAATTTAATTAACAGTCTGCGGCGCTGAAGGAAGCAATCGATGATCTTGAGTGGCCTGGATCAAGCATCCAGATCAGTTTACAACCAGTTCCTCCAACTGTTACATTCAGAGGTGAAGGCCACGGAGATTTGCAGG